GACCGTGCCAGTCTGACCAGCTCTGCTTGGCAGACAGGTGGGTGGGGGCCCTGGGCTGGAAGGAGACCCGAGTACAGGGGAGACAGACTACGGTCCTGCAGGAAAAGACTGAAGAGTAAGAATCCTCCCCAATTAATGTCCCAATTTCATGCAATTCCAATTAGGATTCCCATAGCAAAAGGATGTACTCTGACCAAATGATCCTAGAGTTCTCTTTCTAGGAGAAATAAGAAGTATTACTAAGAAAAATATCACTGATCAAAGGAGTAATTGGAAACTTTTTTCACCAGATAGTAAAACATAGAGGTTTCTAAATAATGAAAACCTTGATAATAGCAATTAGATTAGATAAATAGATCAATGGGACAGGCTAGATAGTCCTCCCTGCTCCCTTGCACAGCCTGCTTAGTCTCTCCCAGAGCTGTGGGGTCACCACGCAAACCCAGTCCTGAGGGAGGAGGGGCCAGAGCTGTGTGGGCTTTAGGCTGTTGACGCCCTCAACCACCTGGAATGCCTGGATCGCTCAGAGTTGAATCTGGGGATGACAAGGTAGCCCACACTTCCCCTCATGGTTCCCTTTCTTAACCCACATTCCTCCTCCAACAGTGCCTTCCTCCCCTAAGTGCGCCCCACCCCGGACTCTATCAATCCCCCTCCATCTTTGGAGGTAGCACACAGGGAGAAAACCCCAGCCTGAGAACCAGGAGTCCAGGGGTCTGTTCCAGCTCTGCCAATGACTTTCTGTGTGACATTGGACAAAAGCCCATCACCTCTGTAGGTCAGTTTCCCAACTATAATATGATAAGAATCCATCTGGCCCTACTAACCATATGCTACTGTGCCAGGAAGGAAAAGGAATTAAAAAAAAAACAAAACTGGTAGCAGAATTCCTCTTAGAAATTCAAATATCTTTAGTAGGAAACTACCTTGATGCTAATTTGGGGCTAAAAGGAGAGTTCCTCCACTCCCAAGGGTATGACGAAAATGGATGAGCAGTGGTTGGCAAACTTGGCTACACATTAGAATCACTTGAGGAACTTTTAAAACATATAGCTTCCCAGACTCCAATCCTGGCTTGGCAGAGGTTGGCTAGATCCCGTTTCCTCTTCCTGAGCACCAAGGAAGACTACATTTCCCAGGCTCCTTTGCAATAACCCAGGGCCACATGACTAGATTCTGGCCAATGGATGTGGGCCGACTGTCCTAGCCCATAATATTCGTGAGCAATTGCCTGCACGCTACTCCTCTTCCAGGACACCTGTGGAGCCTTTTCTGAAAAATGGTGGTGTCAAAAATGGAAAGAGGCTGGAACCCTGAGTCACTGCTAGGAGTGCAACCCAATTCCCATCAGATATGATGTGAGCAAGAAATTCATAATAAAACTGTGTTGGGGGCGCCCAGCCGGCTCAGTTGAAGAGCATGTGACTCTTGATCTTGGGGTTGTGAGTTCGAACCCCATGTTGGGTGTAGAGATTACTTGAAAATAAAGATCTTAAAACAATAATAACAATAACAATAATAATAAACAACTGTGTTAGTTATAGTAGTCAGCCTTTCCAGAACTTCTGATTTAACTGATCTGGAGTAGAATCCAGGCAATTGTTTTTTCGTTTGTTTTTCAATCCCTCAGGCAATTCTAAAGTGCAGCCAAGATTGAGAACCACTGAATTTGAACAGAAATACAAGTGCGGAGTTGCTAGGCATAGTCATGAAATATTCCTTTTTCCAAGGACACCCCAGAGATGGGAAGAAGGTGGTTCAAAAATGAGAAGAGGGGCACCTGGGTGGCTCCGTTGGTTCAGTGACCAACTCTTGATCTCAGCTCAGGTCTTGATTTCTGGGTCATGAGTTCAGGCCCCACATTGGGCTCCACACTGGTTGTGGAGCCTACTTAAAAAAAAAAAAAAAAGATGAGAGGAAGAGGGTGCAGCAACAACGGAGGGAAGCAGGGGACCCCAAAGGGAAAGGTTGACCAGAAAAATATTCTATGTGCTGGGAATAATCAGGGAATATTTCAGAGTTGGGGTAGTTAATATTCAATGCTAAATTCTCATCAGACCTGTTAGGTGGGAGACATAAGTCCTTACGTTGTCTCCAAATCACCAGTGAAGTCTGCCCCACGCTCATCCCCATGTGAGTGGATGCTTTGGGGGAAATCAAAGGAAGAAAGCCTGTTCCTTATTTGGTTGTTACAGGGAGAAGAGAAGGGCTAAAGCCCCCTGCTGAGAATCCTCAGTGAACATTCTGGGGTCCCCTGAAGAATTCAAGGTGGGAAAGAAGGCTGATGCCTTACCCGTGAGGGATTTGACACACATACAGCCCCACGCTGACATCTGGGTGACATTTCAATGAGCTTTCTATGGCATGTATTGTTGAACGCCTAGAACCAATCCCAACATTAGCACCGGGAGAGTCCATGACATTTTTATAGAGGATGAACCTAAGCAGTACAGGGACCTGCTGAAGGCCACACAGCAAGTTCTGGGCGAAGTGGAGTGGATTAGCCTTGGAGTCTCTGAATCCCCTGGCCCCCACGAGTGCTCACAGACTCCTGGATACCAGCACTTAGAATGAGCATCTCCTGGGGACGGGGCATGTGGCATGGTGCGATGGGAAATTTTGGAAGACATCACTGGACACAAGACAAGTCACTCCGACTTCCATTCCAGAATCATCTGTGCTGGGTTCCCCACTCTCACCCCGTACCAAAGCCATCCACTGGGCCCCAACCAAAGACAAACAGAGCCCAGAAGCCTTTGTTTTCACATTTAATCAAAGGAAAAGAAAGAAAATCAGTCAGAGCAAAAGCTCAAGAATTGGCTGAGGGAGAGGAGAGGGGAAGGGCGACAGGGCCGGCACTGAGTGTGGACAGTGGGGGGCAGAGTCCTCATTATCCCGAGGTGCCTCAAATACAAGCGTCCAGGGAAGGAGGATAGGGTCAGAGAGGTAATATGGTGGGCACACACCCGTTCCAACCCAGCCGTGGGCCAGGGAGTGAGTGGGGCTTGTGTAGGGGAGGTAGGACGCAGTTGAAGGGATGAAGACAGGAGAGGAGGGGCCCAGCCCTGCCCCCCAGGCATCACTAGAGGTGAAGGTGCCAGAACAGCATCCACACAGGAGATCTGCCCTACAGGGCCAGGTGCCAACTCCTCAGCAAGGTGCGCAGCACCCTAAGCCAGGCTCCCTCCACCTCCATCAGAGGATGCTCTTTCCTTCAGGGGATTTTGGAGGTTAACCAAGGGTAGGGGGGCTGCACCTGCAGATCCTCACTGCTTCTACTTCCAAGTGCCCCAGGTGAGGTGGGAACTGGCAAAGGAAACCACTGCCTCAGGCAGCAGGAGAGCAGCTCTTCCTCCCACTCCTGGGCCCCCTGGGCTGTGGATAAGGGTGATGCAAGGAAGAGCTGGATTGAGGATAAAAAGAACGCTGAGGAAAGGGAAAAGAGGAGTATAAAGGTGACTGCATAGTGGATGCAGAGCTATGCAAATGAGATGGGAGCAGGCTTGACCTTAACATCTCATTTGCATATGCTAGGCCAATGCAAATGAGATCCCTAATATAATAAATATATTTCTAACTTTGTAATAAATATTCTGTTTCTTCTCCCTCCCCTTCCCTAGGAAATGGGCACACAGTGGTTCAGGGGCCAGCTCGGGCTGAACCTGCAGCGAAGACTGATCAGACACTCAGAGAACTGGGAAGGACAGGGGCTGGCTGGTGGGGGGGGCGACGGGGTGGTCCCTGCAAGAACAGCTTCAGCCCAGACGAGATCACAGAGAGGGACGGGGGCCAGATGCCTGGGGAAGTCTAGGACGGCATTCTTAAAAGGGAGACTCCTGTCTTACACAGTTGCCCTCCCCGAGGACTCGAGGGTGTCATATAGGATAGCGGGACACTAGGAGATGGGGAGAAAGACATCGGGGGAGGGTCAAGGCTCTGGAATCTGGGATAAGGGTCTCATAAGAAATGGGGACTAATGGGGAACCCCCAGAAAAGGGCCCCAAATAGTGACCTCCAAAGCAAAACAGCCCTTTCCTTCTCTTCTCCCAAAACCAAGACTGACACACACAACACCAACGGTACAAACACAGACCAGGTGCCCCAGCCTGCGGACCCTAAGCTGCGCAGGCAGAAACAGTGTGGATGGCGCCCCCTGGAGTTGTACAACAGGGAGCCGGCTAGAGCACAGATGTCCTCTGCCAAGCCCCTGTTCCATGGCCAGCTCACAGGCTCCTCTCTGCACCCATCCTCAGCCCCCCAGGCAGACCTGATGCGAGTGAGCCACCTGGACCCCGCCGGAGAGACCAAGATGGACCGTGGTCCCCAACAGGGAGCCCAGACGTGCCTCCCCCCCACCACCGCCCCAGGGACCATGGTCAGTAGTCGCAGGCTCCCGGTCACACGGCTCAGCCTTCAGCTCATCCCTCCCTGCGCTGAGCCCCGGCCGGCCCTGCCCTGCGGGGAGCTGAGCAGCCCTGTCAGGGGCACATCAGAGAAGTCCGTGGAGAGACTTCGGCAGTGAAAAGCTGTGCGTGAGGGAAGGACAGGGCGCAGTCCACTTGCGGGACTCCGCCTCATTCCCAGGGAGCTGGGACCGTACTGCCCCCTGGCGGCGGCAGCTGGCTCAAGCTTTGGCTCCCCCAGCCTTCAGGAGGGCCCCAGGCCTGCTCCTGGGCCCCAGGGGGGAGAGGTGGGAGGAGCCCCGGAATGGAGTGGGCGTGGCCAGTCCAAGGGGAAAAGGCGGCTGGAAGAGAGGTGGCAGGGGGCCAGTGTACCTACTGGCCACAGGGTCCCAGAGCAGCTTTCCTCTTCTCTGGACTGACCATTACGGAGGTGACTCTGACACACTCCTGGGCACAGCCTGGCCCTCAGAGAGGGACATCTGGTGGCCAGTGGGCATCGGGAGTGGGCAGCACCTGGGCACAGAGGTGCCCCATGAACACCCACCTCCTCGGCAGTGCACACGCCTGTGCTGAAGCCAGATTAGAGCCCGCTAGGAGCCGTCCTCACCCAGGGAGAGCCAGACGGCCAGGGATGAGAGCTAAGGATCAGGGCTGGGGGTCATGGCTGGGGGAGGGGATGGATTCAGGGTTCTGGGTCACAGCCCGGAGGGGTGCGGTCCACATGAACAGTCTCAGTACACCCAGCTGACAGGCACCCACTGGGGCTCCGTCCGCAGCTTCTCCATGGCAGCCTGGAGCTCACGAAAGGTCCTCTCCAGGTTGGTGTTGACCAGGCTGAGGTCGAAGTAGTGCCCGTAGCCCCTCTGGATGCGGCTGCTCTCCTCCACGGTCCTCCTCAGGTCAGCCTCCTGCCGGCAAAAGGGGACGTCCTGGCCATCAGTGTCCCCCCCATCATCCCCATCATCAGGGGGAATCTGCAGCGCCCCCATCTATCCCCCTCCCCAGAGCCCAGCCATATCAGGTACAGACTCCCTCACTCCATCAGGTACAGGCTCACCCGCAACCCTGGACAGACACATGGGTGAAAGAAGGAAGAAAGGAAATAACTTTAGTGAGTGCCAAGCAGGGCACTAACCGCTTTGCAACCCACATAATCTTCCCTACGGCTCTGCAAGGCGGGACTCATTATTCCCCATTTCCAATAGAGAAAACTGAGGTACAGAGAGGTCGCCCGGCCAGCAGCTGCACGGGGTCTGCCTGACTCCAAAGTCAATGCTCCCTCCACTCTGACCAGGCGCCCTTACCTCCGCAGCCTGAGATACACCTCCCAAGCATGCCGCCAGGAGGGCAATCCGGGGTGCCCCCAGCAACCGCCACCCCTACCTACTCAAAGCTGGCCAGGCAGGGGTGAGAAGGGAACTTTGAATACTGACTTAAATAAGTTCAAGGTGGAAGTTCTAGGGCTGGCCCCACTATGTGCCCAGTGGCCCCAGTTGGCTATGTGTGTGACCAGGGGACTTCAACGGGGAGCCCAGCCCAGGCAGCCTTTCCCGGGCCTGAGAACTGAAGTACCAGGTGTGGCCAGCAGATGGACCCCTGAGCTCAGAGTTCTGCAAACCCTACATCTGGAGAAGGCTGCTCCAAGGGGTACCTGGTGGGGAGGTAGGTGCCCTGGGGTTCTGGAACACCTGACTTGAAGCCTCTCCTCCCAGCGCTGCCTCCTCCCTCCAGCCAGCCTTCCAGCCTCCAGCTTCCTCTTTCCCTTCAGCCTTTCCCTCCAGCTGTAAACGCCCTCAGCCCACCTGGCCCATCCCGCCCACAGATCTCCCCCTGGCCCTCTGGACTCCCTTTGGTAAGCACTCTGTCCCCACAGAATGGACGGAGCTGTGGGCCTGGCAAAAGCTCCTGCACCCCAGGCTAGCCGCATCCCTGACTCTGTGAGACTTTGGGCACTTCACTTCCTTGCCCAGACCTCTGTTGCCACACCTATAAAGCAGGAATCACAAGTTCAACCTCACTGAGACCTTGGGTGGGCCCCTCTCCCCTTCCCCAACACCACCTTCTTCCCCTCCTCAGCCCCAGCCTGCCCTCTCTCCCAGGCAGCCACCAGACCCCTTCCACTGCATGTCAGAGCCCTCACCGTGAGCTGCTTGGTGGACACCCCACTCTCCAGGGCAGCCCGGTTCATGGCCCGCAGGGTCTCAAAGTCAGGGGCCTCGATGAACACCACATAAGGGACAAACTCAGCTGTTCTCAGTACTTTCACTGCCTGCAGGAAGAGAAGGGGATGGGGGAGTCTATCCCCCACAGACATCCTAGAAGGGGGGGGAAGGATAGCTGGGGGGGCAGGTACTTGGAAATGGTGGGGAAATGGTACCTGGGGCCCCAGAACCCGAGTCCTGGGGATGAATGGTGGAGGGACAGCTGGTAGGTGGCTGGGGATTGGGACACTGGAGGTGGCTAGAGGAGTGGGGGGCCTGGGAGGCTGAGAAAAAAATTCTAGGTGGGTTGGGTCCCTAGCAGTAGTTGGAGGGTTATAGGGGGGCTGCTTGGGAGACCAGTGCCTGGAAATATATGGGGAGTGGGGGGGGGAGGGTAGCAGAGCGCCCAGAGGGGATATGGGCAGGCTGGGAACAAGCAGGCTGGGGCAGTACCTGGGGGTTGACATCCAGCACGCACACCTTGCCGGCGGCGACCACACCCCGGATGGAGTCGATACGTGTGCCATACAGGTTGCCCTCATATTCGCCATGTTCCAGGTAGCGCCCCGCGCGGATGTCGGCCTCCATCTCCCCGCGGGACACAAAGCTGTAGCCCTGGCCTTCCCGCTCCGAGTCCTTGGGCCGCCGGGACGTGTCTAGGGGGAAGGAGGGGCTGACTGAGCACAGGCAGGCCGTGTCCCACCTCAGACACGCGTGCACGTGTCCTACAGGGGCCGTGCAGCCCAGCAGGTGCAGCCCCTCTCCACCTTCACAGTACTGCTGCCTTCCCACGTTCCGTGCCCTCACCCTCACCACTGACACACACGGATCCGAGACATCCATATTGAGGGGACCTTCAGAGTCCACTGTTCCAGCCCAGCGCTCACAGATGGGGGGCTGAGGCCCAGAGAGGGTGATGTGCTCCTCAAAGCCACCCACCAAGGTCAAGCAGATCTGGGGTCAGCCCTCAGGTTCCTGCCTCCAGGAACCAGGAGCTCTCACCATCCCTGCTGGTTCTGTCACCACACGCGGGCCTGTTTCACATGGGCTCCCAGCTGGGTTTTTAGCAAGTGAAACATGAGAGAAGACGAGGCAAGGCTTGTCCAGCCCACCCAGGCCACAGGTTCAAAGGACAGCTTCCCGAACACTCTCCAGCCTGCAGTTCCCCCATCAGCCGCAGAGGGCGCACCCCTACACCTCCCCCGCAAAGTACCACTTGACTTGATGCCCATGCAGATACCCACTCATCGGATGTGGCCCTGGCCCCCAGGGCAGCCCCAGCTCCTGGCTCCCCCCCCCCAGCAGGGCCCGGCTCCCACTCACAGGGCACTGTGGTGCCGTATCGATCTGGATCCCACATGATGAGCTTGTTCTTCAGGCTGCGCCGGCCCACACCCTGGGCTCCGATCAGCACCAGGGTTTTCCGGCGGAAGGGAGGCATGCGGGCCACCTCCTCATAAATGAGCAGCTCATGGCGGTCAAACTCTGAACACAGGGAGAGGGTACTCATCGGGCTACTCAAGTGGCACGGGCGAGGCCAGGGGCCAAGGATAAGAGGGCTGGGGCCAGGGGCAGCGGAGAGCGAGTAGGCAGGACCTAGGGACAAGACTGCAGCACCAGCACTGGGAGAGCATGCGCACAAGTCACTAGCGGGTGGAGGGAAGGGGCATGCCATGCCGTGTTAGAGGACAAGGAGGGGGCCTCCAACACCCACCTGCATTCTTGGTAGTCAAGTACATCATTCGCTTCTTTTTCTTTCCTGAAAGACTGCCACACAGGGTCCCTGGCCACAGAGAGATGGGCGAGTGAGGCCAGGCAGGCTTGCGTCAGATCCCAGATTAGGCGTTCCATCGGGGGGACCCTCATACCTGAGGTGGGTGTCAGCTCCAGATCCCGTTTGACAAAGGCTTTCCGCTTCTCCTCCAGCAGCTGGCTGGGGATGAGCCCAGCGCTGCCCCCTTCCACATGGCATGCCTGAAACGGGCAGTAGTTGAGGGGTGAATGCCTGAGTGAGAAGGCACCTCCTCAGGCCCTCGCCTCCCCCACACCACACCTGGAGGCACCCACCGATTGCTCACCTGCCACCAGTTAGCGTCGTCCTGGTTTACAATCTGCAGTAAGTCCCCCGCATTGAAGCGCAGGCCCGCTTCCTTGCAGGGGATGAGGCTGTCTCTTGCAGGGTCATAGTCAAAGTGGCATTTCACAAATACCTGGCCCGAGGATCACAAAGGGTCAAGGGAAGAAGGGAAGGCTGGAGGGCAGTACTCTTCTCAGAGCAGCCCCCACCCCACTTCCCCCTCCTGAGGGTGGGGGGGGTGTCACACAGGCCACCGTCTTCCCCCTACCCTCACAAAGATGCAAGAGGCCCGGTCATGCCCCTCTCGAGGCACGCTGCCCCCAGACCTGCCCAACTGCCTCCTGGTACCAGCCTCCCTTTGCATCTAGAACAAAAGGACTCAGAGTGCTGGGGCCCCTGCTCAGGCCTGGGGCCATGGACCCATCCACTGAGAAGGCGGGATCAGTGGGTAAGGGACACAATCCTGACACCTAACGCAGGATCCCTCGGTCCACCCACACCCTCCGCTTGGCACAGGGGGCTCCGGCAGATGCAGGAAAGCCGGTAGGAGAAGGTGGACAGAGCAGCCAGACCCCCACAGTCCCCCAACCAGGTGGCCTCCGTACAGGACACGCGGCACGCCGACGTTGCGCATGCGCGCACCCAGTACACGTAGGCAGGTCCGGGGGCTGCATGGATATCGGCCCTTATTGGGGTACCCCAGGCCTTAAATGTGCGCATGTCCCTTGCACATGTGTATGAGTGCCCACGACTAGGTCCAATGCACGAGCATGCGGGAGATGGGGGACTCCTACCCCCGGGCCTGTCACCCCGGCGGCAGCCCCTTGGGCCTCGGGCTGGGGGTGGGAGGGAAGCTTGGCGGAGGGACCCACCTGGCGGGGCAGGTGGGGCTCCTGGTAGCTGGGTAGGATCTTGAGGATGACGCTGCCGCTGGCACTGCGCAGGAGCTCCTGCAGCGCGCGGGGGTCACTGCCCACCGGCTGCCCGTTCACCTCCTTGATGATGTCGCCCACGTGCAGCAGGCCTTGCTGAGCCACCATGCCCCCGTGCAGAATGCGTGCGATCACCAGTTCGCCGCCCTCCACACGGAACGTCACGCCCTGGGGCGATAGAGGGCGGGTATGATGAGGGCCCAGCTGCTCCAAGCCAGAATCTTCAAATGGGTCTCCTAAGAGACCCTCCATTCCCATCCTCCCGGCACAGTCTGCAGCTCAGATGCACAGTGCCTGTGGTCTCCTGGGGCTGCTTGGGCCCGTCCCGGGGCAAAGCTGGTCCCATCTTCGTCTTCAGCCCTCTCCTGACCAGATTTGGTCCCCGCTGGTTATTCTCAACGCCCGCTCCAGATCCCACCCCCCAGTCCTGCCTGGTGGCCTCACCAGATGCTCTCCAGCAGTCTTGCGGATGCCCACCATGCGCACTGCGTCGGGAGGCACCGGCTGGTTGCTGAAGGTGGGGTCCAGGCCAGGGCTGGGGGGTGGTGTCTCATAGGTCTTTGAGGCCACAGAGTCGTGTGTCTCCAGGAGGGACTGGGGCGGTAGTGGAAAAAGGAAGGACCATGAGACAGTGTCCCACGGTCTCCTCCCATCCCGGCGCTAACGTCCTGCCAGCCCCGCTCCCAGCGGCCTGCCCCAGCCCAGGGCCGAAACCTGGAAATGGGGCTCCTGGAGGATGCGGGCCAGCTCTGCGGCGGTGCTGCTCTGCTCCGCCAGCTGGGCCAGGTCCCGGAGGATCTCCTGCACCAGCTCCAGGTTGTTGTCCCGCACAGCCTCCAGCTTAGTCTCCTCCAGCCGCTCATGGGCCTGGTGGGGGCGGAACAGGTGACACCTGAGGCTCCCCAAGAACCCTGGGGTACCGTACACTGTCCCCTACCCGCTCAGATCCTGACTTCAGACCCCACCCTTAGCATTGCTTCTGATACCAGCTTCAGATCCTCACTCACCCAGACACAAGCACCTCACACACCCGCACACACACCTTGTTTCCCCCTTTCTCCCTCCAAACGATGATTAGGACCCAGTTTCCAGAAGGGAGAATACAAAGGACAAACCTGCATTCCCATCCTCTTGTCACAAAGGGCCATTAAAATTATCAAGCTGTCCCCAGCCCCCCAGGACCTTATAAGCATGTGACTTCAAGGACAGCTTCTCCCACCTGACGGCATGGTCTTGGACATCCTGTAGCCCAGGATGAGGAAGCCAGGGAGGTGGAGTAACTTGCTCAAGGTCACAGGGACCCGAACTTGAGTCTCCAGACCTTCAGGCCAGTGCTCCCAGGGAGGGAGGGGACAAGAAATCAGTACAATTGACCCTTGAACCACATGAGGGTTAGACACACCAATCCTGCACCGTCAAAAATCCATATGTAAATTTTGACTCCACAAAAACGTCTACTGTTGACTGGAAGCCTTATGGATAACATAAAAAGCTGGTTGACCATATCTTCTGTGTTACATGATTATATACTGTATTCTTACAATAAAGTAAGCTAGGAAAAAGAAAATGTTAAGAAAATCATAAGGAAGAGAAACATATTTGCAGCACTGAACTTTATTGAGAAAAAGCCACACATAAGTGAACTCACACAGTTCAAACCCATGTTGTTCAAGGGTCAATTGCCCACGGTACCAGAAGAGGGCCCTGTACCTACTTGTTGCTTCACTGACCCTGGGCTCCATGACAAGGTGCTCTGAAAGAAGGGAAAGGCAGCTTTCACCAGTGACCAGCCCAGCAGGGAGAGTCATGTTAGCTGGGTCAGGAAGTAAGGAGTGCCATTTCAGGGATATACATGAAGACTTTTCTCTCTGAGTCATTTGAAAAATAAGTCACCTCACCCCAGAGTAGTTCAGCATACATCACCTAAAAACAAATAGGAGGTCTGCCACATAAACTACAATACCATTATCATACGCAGGAAGTTCAACATTGACACACTGATAGAATATCATCTAATAGTCTCTATTTAAATGTTCACTGTTGTCCCAAAAATATCCCCCTTAGAGATTTGTTTTTGTTTTTTCCCTGATGGACAATCTCATCAAGGACCACGTGTTACATTTGGTTGTCACATCGTTTTATTCCCCTTTAATCTAGACCAGATTCCAGTAACTTTTGGTCTTTCACAACATTTTTGAGTTCAGGCAAGTCGTTTGTAAAATGCCCCACAACTGGATTTTCCTGATTGTTTCCCCTTGATTAGACTCAGGTTAATCATTTTGGCAAGAGGTCTACATAAGCGATCTTGTGTCTTTCCCATGCCTCGAGACCCTGTGACTATTCTGTTCCCCCAACAATCTTTCTCTGATGAATTTCACATTCATTTATGACTCAGTTCTTTTTTTTAAGTGGGGCGGGGGAGAAGGGGCAGAGGGAGAGAGAGAGAATCACAAGCAGGCTCCCATGCCCAGCACAGAGCTGGACACGGGACTGGATCTCATGACCCTGAGATCATGACCTGAGCTAAAATCAAGAGTCAGACACTTAACCAACTGAACCACCCAGGTGCCCCCGTCAATTTTTAAAATTGGGGGTTGCAAAATGGTGATTTTCTAACTCCATTTTTCCTTCTACATTTATTAGCTGGCATTCTACTATAAAACAGAGCTTGTTCTTTTCCCCACCCCTCCTCCCTCTCCCCCACACCCTCTCTCTGTATCACTGTGGATTCTTTTTACCCTGTGTTCTAAACCATCACCATCACTATCTTCACTGTCTCAATTTATCCCAAACTTGTGCAGTGGGATCCCCAAACACGCCTGTGTCCTTTTGACATGTTCCCATCAGTCCTTGAGCACCTTCTTCCTTCTGCCACTACTTTCCCTACCCCAGGTCTGGGCTCAGCAATTTCTCCAAGTAACTCAGATTCCTTTTGGCAGGGAATGGTATTTAGAAACCAAGATCTGGGCAGTTGGTGCTCATTGCTTCTGGGGTGTCACTTATAGCCATCAGTCGATACTGATTGTTCCAATTAAAATCTAACTCTGCAAGCAATGTCCACAATAGCCAAGCTGTGGAAAGAGCCAAGATGTCCATCGACAGATGAACGGATAAAGAAGATGTGGCATATATGCACAATGGAATATTATGCAGCCATCAAAAGGAATGAGATCTTGCCATTTGCAACGACATGGATGGAACTGGAGGGTGTTATGCTGAGTGAAATAAGTCAATCAGAGAAAGACATGTATCA